TATCAGAGGATAGAGCATGATCACTGCTGCGAGGCAAGACTTGTGGTGTGTACTCCCCTCTGGCCAGTGTTCACGGGAGCTTCTGGTACTTCCTCCAGGCAGGATAGAGAAGACATCCGCCATGTCGATGCATATCTTGTTAAGTGCTTTAGCAAAGTGCCACATTGGTGACAGCCATGCATCTGTGCTCAACCCACTACAAATCCCGGAGTGTGCAGTCACTTCCCAGGTTCCACGGGCACAGGATGCCTTTGGCTAGAGAATGGATTACAACCAGGAGACAGAGCCTTAGGAAGGACAGTGGGAGAGTCCAGAAACTGGCTTCAACGTGTCTGGGAGTGGGCATGTGACAGTTGACATCCTCACTTGCTGGACAGGATTGGACGTTTGTGCTGCATGGTGTGACATACTGCGGTATTAATCTGAAGGAAAATAGAGTCTGGCCCCCTATTGTACCATGTGCCAAAGTCCAGACATTTTCAAGACTTAGGAAAGACATCTCAGGAGATGACAAGTGCATGCAGTCCAGGGCTTGGAGAAACCTTGCTCACCACGACCAAGCACTTGAAACAGCAAGAAGCTCGTGTGACAAAAGCCCAAGCAAAGATGGCAGAACACTCATGGATTTGGGAGAAAAACTCCAGAGAGATGAAGTGTAAACTCAGGCAGGTGACAAGACCCCCGAGGAGTGGGTACATGCTTGTGGTTGGGAAACATGGGAGGAGATGCTAGAAAGCCGAGTATTTGTGGAAATGCACGTTCGATGAACACTGAAACATCCCGGCCGCATAGGAAGCCTTGCCGGCGCGGTGGGAGCAAGGCTCCCCTTCGTGACTGGGGAATGCGATTGCCACAGGGGTTTGGATTTGGGGAAGGCCATCGTGATGTTAATGGAATCACTCTAATTTCAAACAATACAAAAAACACATATACCCCAAACAGCAATCCCTCTGCTAGTAATTCATCCCAAGGAATGAAATTTTAACAAAATACATTTGTCTGACATCTGTCCAACACAGCATCCCTCTGTTAGTACCTTACCTCACAGAAGAAATCACCAGTTGGTCACACACCACCTCTAGCTCCACTCTGGTTCCTGGAGGTCTGTGTTCTGTGTCTGGGACACAGAACCACACGGCGGTCATTGTTGTGGCCTGTGCCCTGGAGGCCTGTGTTCTGCCGTTAGGGACACACAACTACATGGTGGTCGCTGATGTGGTGTGTGTCCCAGAGGGCTGTGTTCTGTGGCCAGGACACAGAACCACACAGTGGTCATGGATGTGGCCTGTGCCCTGGAGGCCTGTGACCTGCCATCTGGGACACAGAAGCACACAGGGGTCGCTGATGTGTGTGTCTTGGAGGCCTGTGATCTGTGGCTGGGACATAGAACTACATAGTGGTCGCTGATGTGGCATGCACCCTGGAGGCCTTCCATCCGGGACACGGAAGTGCACAGGGGTTGCTGATGTGGTGCACGCAGTTTCCTCGAGGTCAGCAGCTCATCCCCCTGGGCATCATCACAGAGCTGGTACCATGGCTGTGACACAGGTCTGGGAGCCAACACATGGGAGGGTGTCTGCAGTGGTGTTCCTGGGGTTGGCGAAAGAGCTGGAAACAGAGAAGGCTCCGTGCTGCCTATGGTACAGCACTGGCCGCGATGGCTTGAAGCATGAGGTCCTGAGACAGCGAAGGAAACACTTACTGAGCCACGCCAAAAGTATCATGCCTCTGCTGGAAATAATGACATGGAACTATGTCTTTTGGCTCGGAGAGTCTCTCATGGACACAGCCTGTACTCCCAGCACTTTGGGAGGCCGAGGTGGGAGGATCACTTGAGGCCAGGAGCTCTACAAAAAATCAAAAGAGAAAAGTGTGTCTAAATCTCATTTTGTAAAAACAATGGCAGACCTTCTTCTGTGTGTGTGTGTGTGTGTGTGTGTGTGTGTGTGTGTGTGTGTGTGTGTGTATACACACAGGATACTCTGAGCCTCAGGAGAACTACACAAGCACTAGGGTGCTAACCTGATCGGGCCCCCGTGAAGCGAGGGGCTTGAAAGGGGCTGATGGTAAGTGCACTGAACACCAGGAACAGTACTGCTGGGCTTGGGGCTGGGCGTACCCCACGTGCCCCCAGAACCCCCTTTGGCATCAGCTTGTCCGCTGGGCCGCCTGCAGGATGAGGTCACTGCCGCAGTCCCAGCACCGCACCCCGACAGCGATGCGCTCAGGATGGCGCCACAGGATCGGAAACCAGTCGAAGCCAGCCGGCTCCCAACCAAAGCCAGGTGGCAGCGTGAAGCGAGCGGAGGAGGAGGAGACCCCTGGGCTGACTGGCTTCCTGGGGGATGCATGCGGGCCTTAATTTGAAAGGAAACGGTTACTTCGGCTCTCGGAGTTTCTGTGTAATACCCGATGCCGCCTCCTGCTCCACGTGGTTTCCGAGGCCCTCCCACACCCGGCGCGGCCGGCCCTTCTTGCACACGCCCAGCATTCGGCCTTTTACGACACTCATCAAAATGTGCTTTGTTTTCGCTATTTGTGCACTTATTTAATTCTTTCCGTTAGTTTTCCAGTTACTTTAGATGAGAGACTTGACTCAAAGTCAAGTGTACCAACAGTATCTCAGTGTGCTTTTCTGTCTTCCGAGTAAGCAATCTACCAAAATTACGGGCGATGGTGAGATTCTGTGTCTTGAAACTCCCAGGATTGGAACAGGAGGATGTTTTAAGTCACAAGACGCTGTGCTTCTGCCTTTCAGGTCCTGATCAAGTGTGTCGTGGCCCTGCAAGGGCTTCCTGGTGTCGTCTTCTCCAAGAAGCACTCCGCGAACTTCGAGAGTGTGCAGCACATGGTCGCCTGCTGCGTCTTCTACATCACAAAGGTATCTGTGTCATCCGCCGTCTTGTGCCGGGAAACTTAGGACAGCGCTGATTCGGAAAGCCATCACAGGGAGCAGGGCGCTGTTGGAAAGGCTCCCCAAGCACGTTTGGAGGAAAAGCGAGCGTGGAGGCCAGCCCTGCTGCCCTTCCTGATGACGTGGTCGCATCTCATAGACCACACCTGATGTCACCGAAGGAGCGTCCGTGTGTCTCATAGGCATTGTGTGTGGTCACACAGAACCCATCTATTTCAAAGCCCCGAAACGTTAATTCCACGTTTACTTTCCCGCAGTAAACTGGGTGTCATCTTGTTGGGCAAATTGGGACTGTGCCGATGGTGAGTTAGTTCTGGGCGTCTAAGCCTGGGTGGTGACACGGGCAAAATGGGACCCGGACAGCACACTGGCTTTTCATTTTGCTTCACCCTTCAACACATGTTCACAGGCCATCCGTCTATGCCAGGTCCTGTTTTGGGCCCCTGGCCACATACTCAGGAGTGAGAGGGAACCCCTTGGCTGCTGTGGGAGGAGGCCGTCGGGCCATGGATGGCACTCGGGTTCTAGCGAGGGTGGTGGCCAGACGGTGGTGGCACAAAAGGAGTGCAGGAAGATCACTGCTACGGGGGGCACAGCTGGAGACGGTGCCACTCAGGAGAAGGAACTCGGATGAGCTCCACGCAGGTGTCACAAATTCAAATCCTACTGAGACATGCAGGTAGAACAATATGTGAACTGGCTGAAGTGAGACAAGGCTCGCTGGGTCCTGGGACTCCCAGGAGAGTGGGCACATCTACCGGTAGCACCGACACTCATTGACATAAAACCAGCGCCATCCCACAGAGCGGATGGCTAAGAGGCGGAAACCAACACACACATGTGGCGTACTCCATGCAGCTGCACACAGGATAAATAAAAAGAAAGCAGTGGGGGCAGACAGATGCCGGGGCTGGGCCTGCTTCACAGAGGGGTGACGCCGGCCCAGAAGAAAGGAGGTGCCAAGACAGGAGGAGGAGGGAGCAGGAGGGCCTGCCAGGGCGAATGAGCTTGGGGACCACGGTCAGGCCTAGCTTGTAGCTGAGTGGGCTGTTGAGAGTGGGAGACCTTCGTGTGGGCAGTGGATTCCCCTCCTGTTGACTCGCGAGGAAAGTGTCTCTGGTGCATTGATGTAGGTGTGCCTGGCACCTATACGCTGGTGTGCCTGCTGGGTATACATTGGGGTACTGGCACGTGTTTATAGGTGTGCCTGGTGTGTACCCATAGGTGTCCCTGGAGTGGCAGCCCTAATTCCCCCTACAGTTGCTCTCAGTGTGGTGCAGGGTCCTTAAACTCTGCCTCATCAGCTTTGTCCTGCAGGTCCGACTTCTTTTTTTCATGTTTCAGTTTCATGAGATTAACATGGGCCTCCATTGCTGACCGACCCTCCAGGTGTGACCCTGCTGCCTGGTCTCCTGGTATCTCCTGAGCCCCGTGTACCTCCGCAGCTGAGACCAAAGGAGAGAAGGCAGTGGCTCATCCTCGCTGGCCCGAGGCCCAGCCCTGAGAGGTGCTTCAGAGGCTTAGCTGGCAGAACCCATGCTTCTCCTCAGGGCAGGGCGCTGCTCGCCTGTGTTCTGTGGCTTTGCGGGACCTTCCAACCTGGCCAGAGATCTGGAAGGGCGCTGCGCAGGCAGGCTGCCGTGGGCCCCCACCAGGCAGGGCGTGTGTGCACTTCTCGGGAGGTTTGGCAGCCGAGGCCTTCTGCCCTCCGCCTTGGCAGAGGCGTCATTGTTGGCTGGCTATTCACGGTCTGCTCTCAGGAACAGATGATTCCGTTCCTTCCACTGCTCACGGCGTCACCACGGCTGGAGAGACCTCTGAGATCTGGTTTCTTAGATGCCAGGGACCTCTAGCTGTTTGTTGAAGAGGGAAGTCACTCCTCACCACGGGACGTGGCCGCCGAGGGAGGGAGAGTGGGCAGAGACGGAAGGACTGTGCCACTGCGTTTAGCAGCATGGTACAAAGGCAAAGGGAACGTCTAAGGAGATGCCATCAGATGGTCTCCAGGCAAAGCAAGCAGCGGCACAACTCTTCTCTCGATGAACAAAACATTTCATTTTTGACTGGAAAAAGTCAACAGAGGAGGATGAGGTTATGGCATCTGGAGTCAAACCTGGAAGCTCCAGAGGTCCCTCCCGCCGGGTCCAGCATCCCTGGAGGCAGTGGACACGCTCAGAAGGTGGGTCCAGGGGTTTGACTCAGAAGCCAAGGAAGGCCAGAGGCCTAAGAAGAGACAGACGGAGAAGGGGCAGCTCCTCCACCCGGCGGATGAATGTAGGAACACACATGGAAGCACACGTGGGGGAGGTTCCCGAAGTCAAAGGACAGGGACAAAAATGTTTCCAGGCCCAGAAAGGAGTTATTGGGAACGGAAAGAGAATCAGTTAGCTTCAGAATTTGGATCAGCAGCCCGGGAAGCAGAGACGCTGGAATGGCGTCCGTCGAGCTCGGAGGGGGAGGACTGAGGCCCAAGCATCAACAACCAGGAGAGACGCTGCTCCTTGGTCGGGGCGAGAAGCGCTTTCGGAAGCGCGGCCTTCAGAACGCAGCCCGCCCACAGGCTTATCAGAGGAAGACGCTGGCGGACTGCTGGGCCACACGACAGTCAGTTCGGAACAGAAGCCCCACGACGGGCAAGACAGGAAGGTGAGGGACAGCGGGAGCACAGAGCCCTGCGATCTGTGTATTACGAAAATTAAAGTGACCGTCATGACGGGACCAGGACTTGCAATATAGATGCCAAGTAGGGATTCTTGACAGAGAAGAGTCAGCCCTGGACGAAGAGCTTCCCAGTGACCCAGAATGAAAACTCCCATGCTGCGGGGAGCAGAGTATGAGCCGAGAGAGATCCTTGGGGCATGGTTGTGTGTTGTGTGTGTGTTTGTATTACAGATGACTCGAGGACATGCAGCCATGAGCAGAACTCTGCAGCATGGTAGGACTTCTAAACTGAGGGGGGGGAGAAAGTCAGCAGGGAGGAATGAGGGAGAGAAACGGGAAAAAATGGCAGGGAGGAAAAAGGTGGCAAATCCTGCAAGAGCCAGAAGGAAAAAGAAACAGTAATCAAGAAGGAAGAACTAAAATGAAGCATCGTCATCACTTGACTACGCACGAATGACCTCAGAAGACAGAGATTGCCAGAGGGGATAAAAAGTCAGGTTCAAATGTCAAGAGACACACCTAAAACATGGCGAGCAATGGTCGAAAAGTCAATGAGTAGCTAGGGGCCCAGTCAGATGCAAACACAGATCCAGGAGTGGCCGCTTCGATGTCAGAAGAAGCGGAGTTCCGGGCCCCAAACGCTAGTCAGGTCAGAGAGTGCCACTTAGGCAGGCGCTTCAAGTTTGTCCTGCTGGGTTGCCCTTCTCGGCCTGCGAGTCTCATCCTGGCTACCTTCTGGTCTTAGGACAGAGTCTCGTTGTCAAGTATGAAAGACCAAAGCTGAATTAAAACCAAACTTGGATTTTTGTAACGGTACATGAAGGCAGAAAAACTATAAGATTATATGAAAAACGCTTCACCAGGCATTTTGCAGCACCTAGCAGTCTTTCCTAATAAACTTCTAATAAACCAGGAATGCAGGGAAGCTATTGAATGATGACAAAGACATTTACCAACACTGGCAAACGCCATATTAAAACGACCCATTTCTGAAGCCATCTCCTTAAAAATCAGGCATGAGAAAGAGATGCTGACTCTCAATAGTGAGGGTCAGTATTTTCAGAGGTTCTTTCTCATGCAACAGAGAGGATATGAAGTAACTTTATAATTTTAGAAAAGCGCGATTTATCTGAAACTTTAGAGGTCTGAAAAAGTCATGATAATCTAGTAAAAAATAACTAGGTTTATAAAGAGACTATATAAAGTGATTTTAGTATGTAGTACACTTACAAATGGATAGGTTTTTTTGTGGGTTTTTTTTGAGTTGGACCCTCACTCTGTCACCCAGACTGGAGTGCAGTGGCCGCTCCCGGCCACCGCAGCCTCAGCCTTCCAAGTAGCTGGAACTACAGGCGTGCACTACCACACCCAGCTAATTTTTTGATTTTATTGTAGAGATGAGGTCTCGCCAAGTTGCCCAGGTGGGTCTTGAACCCACGGGCTCAGGCAATCCACTCACCTCAGCCTCCCGAGCCCGGCTGGCTTTTTTTTTTCCTAATGCTAGCATTAGTCAGTTAGAAATGGAGAGGGTAGGACACAATATTCTAAACTTACCAACACGCTAAAGAATCTAAATAAAAGAACTGTGGAATCTTACTGAGGGACACAGGCTAAGATTTGCATATATGACAGACCACATCAAGTCCCTGGATGGGAAAGCTTATTGTCATAGAAATGTAAATCCTTCCTGAAATAATATTTAAATTTAATATACTTCTTATCAGAATTCCAATGGGATTTCTCTAGAACTGATTAGAATAACTTAAAGGTTCTTGAGGATATTAAAATTTGCCACGAGGCCACTTTAATGAAAAATAATGTTGACAGAGTATTGGGCAACTGGTTCAGCGGAGAAGAATGCAGCATCCAGGAGTAGCTGCAGGTCCCCAGACGACATCAATGTGTGGCAAGCGTAGCAGCATTCGTTTAATGAAGGTGCTGACATAACTAACCGCCCACCTGAATGTAAACAAAGCCCGAGCCCACCTTATACCACATGCAAAATAAAGTCCACAGAGATTCAAGGAGCTTTGTATGGATGCAGAGCTGGGGACTCCCAGGGCACAGAATTCAAAAGATACGCCGAAAAAGTCAGACAATTAAAAAGTAGGCCAGCGAACACATTTTTGCAGCTCGCTATCGTAAGCGAAGCCTAAGGCAAATGCTCGGCTGGAAAACATGACAGACATATTAACAATAATGACCTCAGAGAGTAAATCGATGAGAAGATATGAGAAAATTTCCGTGTTTTGGAAAAGAAGGATCAAATTCATCTTCATTTATGGAGGGCAAAACGCAGCATTTTAGGGGCCTTGAGGGTGGAGCAGTGGACACACACCAGGAGGTGAATGGTCATCCCCTGCAGTCAGAGAAGAGTCACTGAGTTCTCCATGTCCAGCCTGATGTGACGAGAGCTGCATTTCAGAAAACAGACGCCACCCTGGTTGCACAGCAGCTGGTAGCCAGAGGGAGCTGAGATCAGCGCAGGGGCGGAGGCAGAGGCGAGGGATGTGGCCTCACCTGGTGGGGAAGAGGTGGAGGGCGGGAGCTGAGAGGCTCTGGGAGTTGTCCTCAGGTGGAGCCGAGGCCTGGGACTCTGCGGACACAGGCACAGAGCAGGGAGGGGCGCAAGGCCAGCCCGCAGCATCCAGGCCAGGGGGAGGGCTGTGTGTGGGTAAGGGGAGTGGGCAAGAGGTTCCCAAGAGCCTGCGTCTGGGGGATCGGAGAAGTGGCCGCCATAGTTGGCCGCGTAGCCCTGGAGCTCAGGAGAGGACAGACGTGTGTGAGTCAGAGTCGTGAGCACCTGGACAGTGCCTGCAGCAGCAAAAGGTGCAGAGTGGGAAAGACTGAGGCTGCCCATGCGTCCCCAGGGTGCACGTTGCCAGGGAAGGGCTGAGAACCACCGTGAGTCTCCAGAGTGCAGGGAGTCCAGGGAAGGGCGGGGAGCCTTCCCAGAGCCGCCAGGTTGCTTGTCGTCTGGGTTTTAGTCTGGCTTCCAGATGCCGGGCAGGAGGGAGAGAGGAAGAGTTTGGCTGGTGCAGTGTGATTCTGTCATTTCTAACACCTCTGACCCCGAGACTCCCTGCTGCTGTCACCCAGTGTCCCCACTGAAGGCCAGGCCCCACAGAATCCAACAAACCCTTTGTTCTCCAGTGTGTGGGTTCATACATGAGTGAGTTACGCTGGGTCCGACGTGCTCCTGGTCCCTTTCTCTAGAATCTGCTCATCTGCCTGGTGCCCCCGACTCTTCCCGGGGGATGTCCTGCTTGTGTAGGGACAGGCCTGATCACACGCTCTGGCGCCGGAGGCTGACTCCCTGAGTACAGGGCCACCTCTGAGCCTGGGAGAAGCCCCTCCCTTCACACTGGGCAGCTGGGCTGACTGTGCATGCCCGTCTTGCTAGCCAGACCCCCGTCCCCCACTGGGGGAATCCTGGCATCCAGTGACGCCACTGCCGAAATGACCCTGAACGGGTTCTGAACGTTTCGGAAAAAGAATGTATGATTTGTCAGTATTGTGCTGCTTGGACTGCTTTTGTACGAAATTGACATGTTGAGCATTGATATTAGAGAAGCTTCCTCTGGCCTGGCCCACCGTCCCAGCATCCCGGACTAACACTGAATCCCAGATCCTGTGCATTTGGTGAAAACAACATGGGCTTTCCCTTAGGACCTGTGAAGCCCAACTGGTCGAATGGCTTCACCACGCCCCTCTATTCTGCCCGGAACACAGGCTGTCCTGCTGGGTGGCGACTGTGCCTTCTTTCAGCAGCTGTGCTGTTTTCCAAAGTGCTACTTCTGGGATTTGTCATCTAAACGCGTCATTACTTATGCACGGACTTAAACCTGTTATGCTAAACGCCCGGCATGCTCTTTTCATTTCTGTTCATCATTTGGTGTCTTCAATAGAATGGGTCCTTGGTTTTTCTTGTGGTTGGAAACGATTGTTGATCATTTGTTATTGTCTACTAGCATATTAAAACAAGGTAAAAGATCTCACAGGCTTCTGTGCGCTCAGGGCCTGAGCATGGCAGAAAGCAAGATCCGGCAGCATGGAGGCAGGCAGTCGCTCATTTCTGCTGTCTGATGACAATGCTTCTCCTTCTATAACTTTATAACGGGGTTGGACTGTTTCGCTGGGCACTCAGGGCCCGCATGACTGACCTTGTCCACCTACTGAGATCCACTTGCACAGTCAGCATTTGTTGGGGGTTGTGGCCTGGTCCCAGAGAAGTATGCCCGTTCTTGGTGTCAGGTGGGGTCCATCAGGCCTAGGCAGCCCCTCACATTTTGCAGCCACTTTGGACGCACCTTGCCTGTCCAGGAAGTAGCAGTCATTACGTATCCTAAATACTAACTCAACAACGTGTCTACACGTGCACATCGGACAGACTCCTGTCCACTCTCATAGCCATAAAGGCTCACAATGACTGTGTCCCTTTCCTCCAGCCTTGTCTGCAGCTGGGTGCCTGCAGGTTGTGGGCCAGGGACCTTCCGGAGCCGATGCGAGAGCTGGGGTTTCAGGGACGGGGAGGCTGTGTAGCTGAGCAGGGAAGATGTATCTTCCATGTGGGACACAGCGGCGACTGTCAGCTGCATACGTGGCTTGATTTTTGTAAGACGAAAGCACGAGGAGATGCACGGTGGAAGGCTCCTCGAGGCAGGTGAGTGCCAGGCCGGAGGATGTGCAAGGGAGTCCGAGAGGGCCCCATCTCCTGTCATCGTAGGCCCCTCCCCACGGCCACAGAGAATGCCCGGGAACAGTGGGTTCCTAGCACTGTCCTCAACCAGATGCCCTGTAAGTCACTTGACAGTGTACATGGTCCTGAAGACATCATGAGGTCAGTCACTGCCGTGCTCAGCACAACTCAGGACAAGAGGTGGTGACTTGGTGGCTTTTAAGAATGACTCTGGCCGGGCTCAGTGGCTCAGCCTGTAATCCCACGCCTTTGGGAGGCTGAGGTGAGTGGATTGCCTGAGCCTGTGGGTTCGAGTCCCGCCTGGGCAGCGAGACCTTATCTTTACAATAAATCACAAAATCAGCCGGGTGTGGTAGCGCATGCCTGTAGTTCCAGCTACTTGGAAGGCTGAGGCGGAAGGATCGCCGGAGCCCAGCAGGTTGAGGCTGCGGTGGCCGGGAGTGGCCACTGCACTCCAGTCTGGGCAACAGAGTGAGGCTCCAACTCAAAAAAAAAAGAATGACTGTTTAAACACTGATTTTTTTGAATGGAAATGTTTTCTTAATAGTTAACCTATTGTACAAAAAGACATACAGCCCAGGTATGTGGGAAATTCGTTATTGGTGAGCTCCTGCTATTAGTCCTTTATTTTAAATAGTGGAATTACATATTTTAATCATATCAAATACATTTAATGTGTTCTGGAGGTAAAACCTCGTTTGTTTTTTTTTTTTGAAAACGGAAGTTCTTAGACCTGAATCACTATGGGACTTTTGACTTTATGAAAAAAATAATGCATTACACTTGAAAATAGACAAGAATGCCCAACAGAGGTAACTAATCAATGTTTTGAATTAGATTCTGCGTTCATGGAAGGAATATGACCTGGCAGTAATGATTATAAATTACGGGAAAAAAATGTTGGACGTTACACCAGGGTGCAAGTCTCTGTTTGGTAGTCATGAGCAAGAAGAAATACCGGAAGAGGTAATTGTTTCTGTTTCTCATTTTTAAACATATATTTAGTTGGATTGTAAGGGGTCATTAGCATTACTAAACAAACTGGAACATTGATCTGTTTTTTATTTGTCTGATTTACATATAGGCAAAGTAATAGAGTGGGGGGCATCTTTTTTTTTTTTGAGTTGTGGTCAAGAAAATGAAAAAGTGTCCCTGTCCCCAGCACTGAGTGTCATTCAGGCCTGATGGAGAGCTGGCCTGCGCCTGCTGGACGCCGGATCTAAAAGCCTCCACATGGCTTCCAAATCCATGACTTCGTTGTTCTGGGAGGATCTGGAGTGGAGCACATATGTGCCACAGTTTTTTGTGGGTTTTTTTTGCCTTGTATTCAGAGCGGGTCTCTGAAACTCTCGGTGACTCCTACCCTCTTCTTTAGGCAACTGCTAAGTTTTAGGTGAATTTTAACATCTGCCTTTGGAGCATGATTCTTACAAGAGCTTACACTTTATTGCCCTTCCTTGAAGTTGTGTGGCTAAATGTTTTTGAAGATCGGGTTTCAGGAGGTCCCCTAGTAAATTGGGTTTCTCAGGCGCACTAGGAATGGCGTGAAGCCCTTGGAGGGCTTGGGTGGGGGTTGAGCCTCTGGCCCCCACCACCATCTCCCTTAGAAGAACTCTATTTCTGTCTCTGCTACTGTTGAGTTTCCAAGTAGGCATCTGACAAAAAAAAAAAAAACAAGCTTCAAAGATCCCCACTGTTTTACTAGGTGACCTTTTAACCTTTAGTATTTTGGGGAGGGTGTTGTTTGGTCTACAGGAGTTTCGATGAAGTTGGGCAGTTCGAGCTTTTTTTGCATCCAGTGTTGCCTCTGAGTCCATCAGCCTCTTGTTGTCACCCCAGCCTGGATGCAGGGCCCAGCCCTCCACAGCCCTCTGCGTGGAACATCGTGGAAGGGTGTGGTGTTCCCTCTGATGGGCTGCAGGGACTGCGGGTCCATAGGAGTTGGAAGTTGTGAGCACCATTTCGCGTCCTGTTAAGCCTGAAGAGGCCTAGGGCTTTTTTGTTTTTGTTGCTGTGTTTGAGGATGAAAGACATTGACGGTCAGTTCTCAGGCTCAGACGGAGAAAACACCGCAGGAGCCGTTTCTGATCCCCAGTCCGCCAACTATGGATCCCTTATGTTTCTGTGAAGGCAAAGGGCCAAGGCAGGTAGCTTAGCCGTGGAGAAGCTTCTCTCGGGAGGATATTCTAGAATGTTCTTCTGGAGATTCCAGAGGCCTGTCCTCAGCTGCTCGAAGAGCACGAGGGCCAGAGGGGCCGGGTGCGGGATGGGTGGAGACCGCCTGGACAGTCTCTGCGCAGCTCTCGGTGCTGCTCTTGGCACGGCGTCCGCACCCGGAGGCGGTCGCCTTGGGGTGACCCGCTCGCTGGCACTGCCCAGCCGGGCCTGCACTTGCGTCACCTGCCAGGTGTGAACGTGTGGAAATAACTCAAAGGCTGGGGTCAAAAGCCAACAGTGTGCACTGCCACTTGCCCTGTGCTTCTAGGCTTCCTCCAAGAAGTCGGCGAAGACTAAGAAGCCACAGCAGACTCTGTTGCCTGAAAGGATGGGTGAGCAGCTGGCCTTGCTGGAGACGCACTTGCTCAGACTGGCCAGGCAGTGTGAGTGTTGGCTTTCCGTCTGCTCTGCGGAGCAGGATGGGCTTTACAGTGAGAAGGCCCTCTGTTCAAAGGTTGCGGTGCGGTTAGCCCCGGCGGCCCCTCAAGGCTTAAACGCTTCTGTGTCCCTCGTGTCACCGCCCCCTGCTTGCCCCGGGGTCGCCGGCCACGGCTCACTCAGGATGTCGCGCCGCTTCGCGCTTGTGCCTGTTCTTCTGACCCCGAAGTGGGCCTTCCCGGCCCGGGCGCTGTTGTCGTGTGGGGCCCCGTCCCAGGCCCCGTGGGATGTTGGGTGCGTCCCAGCCGTGGAAGCGCAGTGCCGTCCCCCGGCTGGGACAGCCAGCTGGGAGGAGGTGTGGCTCCGTGTGCCCTTGGGGGGAGGGATGGCACAGTGGGCAGAGCTCCAGAGGCCGGAGCGTACCGCGGAATCCAGAGGTGCGAGGTACGAGGGCGTGCGAGGTTGACCCACGGCCTTCTGGAGGGGAAAGCAGTTCGGGTGGCCAGAGCAGTGCCACATCCTGGGGCTGCCATCATTTCACCGCGGCCTGCTGTGTCAGCGCAAGGGCTGGTGCTTTGGTGTTGGCCACTTGGAAAGCTGGATGGGAAGTGGGTTCAGTCTCAGCGGGTGAACGTTGGCCCATTTTAAAGAGCAGGAGCTTCCGGTCTTCCGGAAGAGTGAGGAGTGCCACATTTGAGCCTCACGCCAAATGTGGCCCCACTGATGTCCCCCAGTCCTTCGGGGCCCAGCTGTGCTCGTGCAACTGTGGCTCTTGCCTTGCCTCTCACTCCGGGATTCCTCAGATTTTTGGGGTAATCGATGTTTCCCTCCTCTCTCTCTCTCTGGATAGTCCCTGCCTGTTTCAAGCGTGGATTTACAAACTGAACCCAGTGTGATAGTATTTCCTAAACAGGAAACCTTGTTTTGGGAAGTCTGTAATCATCTCATTGCACATAAAAGGCATACTTCCTTAAAACATGTTCTAGAAACATGAATTACTCATTTTCATAGTATCAACTAAAACATTTTGCTAGGAAGTACGATGTAATATTAGCTTAAACAGAAAATTCAGTGACAATAATAATACAGATAATAATTTTGTACAGTGTTTCCTGTGCTCCTGGCACTATTTTAAATGTTTCAAACACATTGAAACTCACATAACCCATCCAGAGCAACCGTATAATGCAGGAGCCGTCATTATCCCCATTTTAAAGATAAAGCCGCTGAGGCACCGAGAAGCTAAGGTCCATAAATAAAGTGCGTCAGGGTTAGACGTGAACCTGGCTGGCCTGGCTCCAGTGGCTGTGCTATACCTGCCTTTCAGAGATAATTTTTCTGAAATGGATTTGACATAATTGATAGGTTCCCGAACCACAGATTTGTTGTTTTCTGACAGCTGTTAAATAAGAGAGAGTTGTACCTTCGAAACTCTTCCCCTATTTGTTGGTGGACTCCTTAGGTTTTAGGGGGAAAAAATGAAAGGAAATAATTGAAACTATTGGATTCTCTTTATCTCCACAATGTAATGATATCACTGGTATTTTAAGCCATGTAATTTAGAATGAATACTCGAGCATTTTCCCATTTTTCATTCCTTCCAAATCATTCTTATTTTTGGCTATTCATGTTAAACAGAACCTATAACTTATTCACTTTCCAACTTAGATGGGACAGCTGAACTCTCAGGAGCAGAGGACCCTATATTTCTTTACCCTGTGGTTTTAAATTGGTCGGTCAAAGGCGCCGTGAAGGAAGGTAGGTGACCTGAGCATGTGTGTCTGCCTGACTTACCCCTGGAGATGGGCTGCTCTGTGGATCTCATTTTTGTTGTTTACTGAAAGACTTCACCTGTTCTAGGCAGAAGGTTTTGGGTTCTTGCCATGTAGAATAACGCAGACTCTCCATGCTACTAGTAAGAGAGGTCTGACTAGGCACCTCGCTTAGAGTCCCGAGAGACACAGCCTCGGAATGGCTGCCTTCGGTCGTGTCATGGTGACGCCTACAAGAACGAGGGCACTGAAACGTGCATTCGTGAAGTTTAAGTTTGTCTGAGAAGAAGTAGCAACATTAGTGGTGAACTCAGAATGAAATGTAATAAAATTTAGGGTGACTAGATGCAGTTACCAGCATTTTTCCCCAGGTAGCCATACGTTAGAAGCAACTTTAATAAAATAAAATGAAATATTTAGAAAAGAAATGAAATATAGACTGTAATGGATTAACTCATCTTAAGAAAAACAGCAGTTCACATTACATTTACTACTATATATTTTTTTAAACCAAGACGTCTGAAAAGCAGATTAATAAGCTTGCTTGTTGGAACGAAATGACTATTAATACTAATAAGCTGTCAGCACCAATGACTAAGCATACTGGTAACTACATACGAACTTCCTTGTTTTTACAGTGATGAAATTTAAGCAGAGGCCTAGATTTCTGGAATTCTTTACACAAGTTATGCTGAAATGCATGAATGAAGAAAGGTTCCATCTTATGATAGAGATCACAGCTCCTGTCTATGACTTCTTGAAAAGGTGATATCAGTTTTGAGTGTGTTAACTACTTTAAAACATGAGTAACAACATCATTTTAAGAAACACAAAGTGGATGAAAAAGAGAGTAGGGTGCATGCAGTTAAAACCAGCACCTGTGTCAGACATACTTGATGGCCAGTGGAAAAAAACAAAACAAACCAAGCACCTAGGAGACTGTGAAGAGTTGTATCCATGTAAATAAATAACTAAACATAAAAACTTGTATACATACAACTGAACTAAGAAATGAAAGTACAGCATGTTCGAATTTCTAGCAAGGAATAGGTCAGGTTTTTTGTGCTTGATCAGGATGGATGACGGTTTCTCTGGGCCATCAGCTCTCTCATACAGGGCTTTGGGTCCAGTCTTGGTCACTTGCCACCTGTTTCTAATTCTTCTGTGGTAAGAGAGCCTTTGCTTGGGGGCTTCCATCTGTATGTGGCCAAGGTAGGTGTTCCTTAAACGGAAGTAGGAAATGGAAGGCTGGCCCTCTCACTCTCTAAGCCGGATTGATTCTCTTTGCTCCCAAAGGGGAGGGTAGCGTCTCATGCGCGTTCTGAGTGATGCCAGATGAATCCAGCTTTTTTTCCCGACAACTGATTGTCTTTGGTATCCAGAATATTACCTAAAGCTTCCGAACATCTAATCTTGGCTGTTTTTAAAAAAATTTAGTGAACTGCTCTAATTCTGACCAAGTCTCTTATTACTATGTCCTGCTTCATTTAATAGAAGCAATTTATTCTTTTATCTTTTGAAAGTCTGAAGCACATCTGGATTCCAAGTGGTAGCGAGTACAGATACAACTCTGATTTCTACTTAGATGACAATTTCGACTTTATATTCATGCACCTAACATGCTTTTGCACATAGACACTTTCTCATATCGTAGCAGATAAATATGCAAATATGCACCATTTTCTGTGGATTTCATGGTTTACTTTGATGTTTTAATCTGCATGGAATTCGTTTTGGAAAGGAGACTTGAAGTAAGCTTTAGTTTTTCCCGGTTTATCAGTTGTCCTGGTCATACTTAAAGAATAATCCCTTTCATTACTTATTTTTTCATGCCATCTTTTCACATTCAGAGTAGTTACGTGAACCAATAATGCTTATACATCACAATGAGATATTTTATGAGCTTTCATGCTTTACTAATAAAAGAAGTATATGGAAACGACTGCTGAATATAAGGCTAATTTGATGGAAACATAATGATATTGAGAGGGCTTAATATGCCACTTTTAAACAGAGCAAAATAAAAATGACATAGAAATACAACATATCATTAAGAAGATTAGCTGAATATATACAGCCAATGGGGACTAAACATTCTTTAAAGCACTCACGAAACTAAAAAAAATTAATTATAAGTTGCAAGATAAAGCTCACTAGAGTGTCCAGATTAAAATTTGTGAAGACCACCTTTGTTGTCATGCAATAAGACCGAACTTTTACAGCAAAATAAATTACTGGCATATATAATTATTGGATCAGAAAATAAACCTAACTAAAAGTACAGATCCTTTTAAAAATGACACTGAGGAGAAACTCTACATAATTAATTCATTTCAAGTATTTGCTAGAGGTGGTTCTTTGAAAATATGAACAAAGTAGAGAAATTTCTGGACACCATAATAAAAAAAGAGAAATACAAGTAATCCATAGAGAAGATAATTATAAATTTGGAAGTGATTAAACAAACATTAGATAGTAGTGTATATAATTTACTATTGTTATTAATAAGTTAAAAATACTGTTGAAATGATTGTCTGGGTTAATTTAAGCTATAAGAATAAAACAGTAGAAAAGTTTGGATAGTTCAGCTGTTTTAAAGGCTGTTTCTTTCATATTTTAAAGGGGCAAATGATTTTTGTTTCACATAAAGATATTTCAGAATAGGGGTGTGAGACTTCTTAGTAGATTTAGTGTAGAAGGTTCTGATAACCAAGCCTTATAAAAAGAGAATGAAACTTGAAAATTATGGGTCAGTTTTGCTTACATAGCTGTATATAGAAGCAAAAATTCAAAATAAAATAGCTGTGCAGCAGTACAAATGTAGATCTTATTTCAGTGGAAATATAGTAGAAAATTTGTAAATAGAATGATCACTCACTGCCAGCAAACCCTTCAGAGGATGCTGACAAGCCCTGTGGGGACCATCAACAGCCGTTCCTGGCACATTAGGTTCAGAAGAAATGTTCTGTTAAAGTAAGTTCTGCAACGTTTCTGCTGTCATTTGACTTTGTTCTGAAAGTTCTTGCCAGTGCATTGAGACAAGAAACAGAAATTAGAGTCAGAACTCAGATGATTGTCTTGTAACAGGGTCTCAAACATGTTTGTTAAATGACTTCTGCAGTGAAATACTCTGAAAAGGAGATAAAATGATTACAAATAATTATTTTTTAACTTAAGCTAACTAAGAACCATGAGGACTAATACTAGAATTCGGTGGCGTGTTTAGATGCAAAATCAGTACTTTCCTATGCCAACCAGAAAGCATAATGGAACAATGATCTCATTTCTGTGGCACATCAGATTCAACTTATCAGGCCCTGTCAGGGACCTAGGCTCATATGAAGAAGGCCAAGCATCATCAATAAGAGATATTAAAAAAAGGCTCTGATAAATAAAGAGACCTTATACATTACTTGATGGGGTAGATAAAATATTGTAAAGATCTCTGTTATCTTCAGATTAATTTATTTTTGCCAATTCCCAAAAATGTTTCAATCAGCTTTATTTATGTGGAGTGGACTCGAATACTGAAACTTCTTTGGACAATAAAAAAAGCAGAAAGGAGGGACTTGCACTGTCAGACAAAATAGAGCAGAGCTGTGCTTGTAGAATCAAAGACAGACGGCCGTGGGGATGCCGCTGAGTCGAAACGGTCCGAGGACACTCACAGGCCGTGAGACCCCACTCAGCTCCGCGGTGGGTCACGTAAGGCGGCTGCGGCCTTGTCCCCGTGACGGTCTCTCGCTTCTGGGAGACCGTGACACCGCCTTGCGCTGCGCCTTTTCTCTGTGTAGACACGCAGGCACTTCCCACCGTGTCTCTGTTGCCCACGGGGTTCTGCACAGTCACGACTCTGCGGGGTGTGGAGCCCAGAGCCACGGGCTCCCCCTGCAGCCGGGGTGTGCCACGGGTGGACTGTCGGGGTGTGGGGGACGCTCCGTGGGGCGCACTCCCACCCCGGGGCCTGGCGACACGTTTCTCAGGACGTGTTCCTGTCGTCAGTCCTCAAGCCGTGCGTGGCTGCGTCAGTGATAAAGCCAGTGAGTCAGCCGTGGAATACAAGGCCGGTGATGTTGACGCCGCGGGTGTTTAAGAATGCACTCTCCCAAAACACACCACAAACCAAGTCAGAAGTGGTCAGAGCTTCATGGCTGGGATGAGGCTGAGGAGCAGAGGCGTCTACTTCAGGCACAGGACACCCGGGCGACGCCGAGACAGCGCAGCCTGTGGCCTAGGTGTGCCTCCATGGCCGCCTCTCTTCCTGCCCTTCTCCTTTCTCTTCTGGAAACACACAGCTGCTGGCCGAGCATCTGGTGGTATGGGATGGGGGCCGTGGGGGGAGGCCTGGCTGGCTGGAGCATGCAAGGCAGTCTGTCTTGGACACACGTGTCCCGATGTCCCGTGACGCTGGTCAGAGGCATCTGGTGTTCGCAGCAACACGTTTGCCGAAATGGGCACCACCTACCAGAAGCCAAACTGGGGGCCCAACAAGCCCAGGGGAAGGGCACCATCATGGAGGCTGAAGCGAGGGGCTCGGCCGCTGGCCAAGCTGTGTCTGGGCCATGTTCCAGCGCTGGCACTGGGTGTGCAGGTTCACCCGGGCATATCGTCAGGACCCCGCGGTTTATAGGTCAATTTTCCAGATTTCATTTATCATGCTAGAGTTTTCCTGTACCTAGCAAGTACTTCCCCAAAAATATAAATTCCAGAAAATATGTAAATTTCAGGAAAACTAGGTGAGTGTAACGGAGGGAGAATGAGAGGCTGTGGCATTCGGGAAAGGGTGCTGTGACCCTTATAGTCTGGCGAGGAGGCCTGAGGGGACTGTCGAAACACTCAGTGCCTGCGGGGTCCAGAGGCCACAGGGCAGGACCTTGCCAGCATGGCTCCAAGCAGACTGAAGTCTGTGGAAGCAGGTGGCTTGTCCAGGGCTGGCCACACGGGCAGTTCTCAGTGGTGACAGGACGTGTGGAGTGCTCAGTCCCGTCCGTCCCGCCTTGCCACGCCACACTTTCTGCTCCCCTTGCCCGTGGCTGCATCAGCCGTCCTCACATTCTGCAGTGTGATGGAAATTGGCTCTTTTGAGAGGCCAGCAATTTCTTACGACCAGAGATTTCACTGTCTAGTTTATACACAGGATACCAGCGCCAGCGTGGGATGTTCTTGCATAATTGCTGAGACTACATTTGTTAAAGATGTATCACTTTGGGGTAGCTTTGCACACTTTTGCTGGTCCTTTTACTGACTTTATCCTTCTATTAGGAGGAATGAGTCCCTACTTGGACTGAAAAAAACAAAATATAAGGACAGTGGTTTGAGTCAAAGAGCAAACAAACCTTTGAAGTTCAAAGCTGCCATAATGGAGATCGGAAGAGTAAGTTTTCTACGGGTTTTGAATTTTGGGCAATTAAAAGATTCATGCATCTAGAGACGATTGGCTGCATTTTAAATTTATTGTAATACGAAACAGAAGGGGTATCAACAAGCATAGTTTTATAATTATACAATACATGTAGTTCTTAAATCACAGATATCAGGTTTCTTTGTCTACAGAGGTACTTTTGTTACTTGTGATAGTAAATTTAATTGAGGAGTGTGTAGAGACTGCTATATTTCAGTGTCAAGAGATAAGCATTAGAGTATGAGTAAATTGCACTATTGTGTTTGAAGTTTAAATTTAATTTGTAACGTTTTAATCTCCTTTCTTCAGACTGCAGAAATGGCCCAAAGAAGGAAAAGCAGAAGAAAGGAAACACTAAGAGAATTCTTTCTAAAAAATCCATCCATCTCTGAAATGGTGGCTCACGAAAGGTACTCCCTAATTAATTCTGTGGAAGTACTGAGGATTGCTGTGCACTGGGTGTATTTTGGGTGCCAGGGACGCACATGTGGGCCGGACAGCAATCGTGATCTTCTGGGCATGTGCAGACCAATGCAGGGAGTACCATATATAAGTCAACACACACGCAAGCCAAACAGGTTGACATGTGGACAACCGTTATGAGGCTAACAAAGATGACAAGATACTAGAGTCGCTGGCTTGGCATGGGGGGCTGGCAGTAGTTTAGATGGGGTGAGCAGGGGAACAAACTGGCAAGTTGTCAGGAAGCCTGGAGGTCTCGAGCATAACAATTACCATGGTAAAATGTTGAGTTTCTATTTTTATTAGTACACAGTTTTGATTCTTATACTTTCTTTTTTGAAACAATCTTTGTGGTTGCTGAGGTGGGATCTTGTTATGGTGCCCAGTCTGGTCTTGAACTCTTGGCCTCCAGGGATCCTCCCACGTTGGGATCTCAAAGTATTGGGACTGCAGGCGTGAGCCACTGTGCCTGGACGATTCTTCCACCTTCTTTCCTTCTCTCACCGTCAGTCTTGGCCTGCGCTGTGTGGATGTCCGTAGAGCAGCTTATGCTTTCTTTTACTTGCGTTTATGTTCTCTCTTTGATTATTCTTTCATTTTCTTTGTGTGCATTATGGCATATTTTAGATGGGTATGAAAAGTGGTGGAACATGTATCCATCACCTAATATGCAGCTTAACATGGAGAGCCCTCCAAGCAGTGGAAATGCCCACACCCCTGGTCCCTTCTACCCCAGATAATTAACAACATCTCAGAATTGGCATTTATCATGCTGGTGAGCGATTCTGAGTGGCAGCTGTGTATGTCCATGCCCCCAAATGATGCATGGTTTTATGTTTTTGTAGTTTGTTTTGGAAATTGGCTTTTCCCTGTCAATACTAGGTTTATGATATTTTGTGTGGATCATTATGCTGATTATACATAAGTCTGGTTTATTCATTTCACTGCTGAATGAATATATACTATATACTATATACTAAGTCAACTATATACTAAGTCAATATTGTATAATAAATTATATAATAATTATGTAATGAACTGTGTTTATTATACTCATATTTATATATGCATAATAAATATATAATATAAATGTAAATAATATTCATGATTTAGCAATGCATATGTAATATAAATAATAGGTAAGTGCAGCTTCTAAGATATGAGCACTTTATCATTACTAGATATTGCTAAATCTCTCTTACATTTGTATTGATGTGTGGGAAGCTTCCGTTATTGAATATCTACACAGACACTTGATATTATTATCAAATGTTCAGGTCTTCATGGAACTGTGAGGTGTGAAATTTTATTGCATTGTTGCTTTAAATATCTTTTTTTTATCTTTTTTTTTTTTTGAGTTGGAGTCTCACACTGTCTCCCAGACTGGAGTGCAGTGGCCGCTCCTGGCCACTGCAGCCTCGACCTCCTGGGCTCCGGCAATCCTTCCGCCTCAGCCTTCCGAGTAGCCGGAACTACAGGCATGCGCTACCACGCCCGGCTGATTTTTTGATTTATTGTAGAGATGAGGTCTCGCCAAGTTGCCCAGGCAGGTCTCGAACCCGCGGGCTCAGGCAATCCACTCACCTCAGCCTCCCAAAGGCACGGGATCACAGGCTGAGCCACCGAGCCCGGCCATTGTTGCTTTAATTTCCCTTTCCTTGACTCCTAAGTTGGGGGCATCGGTTCATATTTTCGTTAGGCTCTAGTGTTTTTCCAGGCTCAGGACTGCTTGTTTATGTCCTTTGTACCTTTAGCAACTTTTGTTTTCTTTATTTATTTGGGTTTGGATGCTAGTGCTTCTCCCAGTGTTTTGGCTCTTCTGTTTACACTTACAGGTTTTAAAAAATTAATTCACAGTTGTCATTGTTAGTGGAGTCGAATGTGTTAGAACTTCCCTGTCTTGTTTTGGACCCCTTTGCTGACCGGGTGGTGAAGGCCTTCTCGTGCGGAGTCTGAATTGCCGCTGTTTGTGTCTGGGGAGGCCAGCAGGCTTGCTTTGGCCGTGGTGCCATGGGTGCCTGGCTGGCTGGCAGCGCTTCCTGCGCGATCAGTTCTGTCCTCCCTGCCTCCTTGTCTTTGGTGGGCTCGTGCAGGTGGTTCTGGGGTCTCTCTTCTGTCCCGAGGCAGTGTCCCACCGTTGCAGTCACTGGGCTTTCAGTTAGTCCTGCTGTAATCTGGCCGGTTTCTCCAGCGTGCTCTTTTCCTTCATGTGAATCTTGGGCATTCTTCCACAAAACAGCCAGGAGTGGCTCGCCGAGTAATCCAGACACCTTACCTGAGGTCTTGCTGGGGACAGAATGGGATGTGCGTATTGGCTTAGGAAGTTTGTTTGTTTTTGCTTTATGCACTATGGTGCTTTTCTGTGAGTATACAGACCACCCACCTGGGCCTGCCCTTACAAAACTCTAGGTCTCGAGCTGTTTCCTGTACGTTTAGAATGAGCTTATCTAGAATCTGAATTTTAACTTATGCTCCTTTTAAGTGCTACATTTGCTGTGAGATTTGGGATGTATCAAATTTGGGAAATTGTCCTCTGTTCCCATTTTGTAAGAGTTTTGCTATGAATTGTGCTTAATTTTGTTGACTGTTTCCTTTCATTGATTGAGATTCTGCTCCTTTAAATTATATTATACATGGATTTTAACCCATGTGAGGTGTCTTTTTGCTGACACCACTTCTGACACCAATTGCGTGGTGCTTTCTGGTTCTGACTCGTCCTCCGATCTGATCCCCAGCGCCAGCCATGAGACTCGGTCCGTTTCCCCATCTTCCCTGGGACTGGCGCCTTGAAGGACTACAGTGCCAGGTGCAAGTGCAGCCTGTCTCTGGGCACCTGGAGCCCTGCCGGGTCCCACAGTCTCAGGGCTCGGCCCACAAGACTGCTCCCACTTCAGCTACAGATGCACAGGGGTATCTGGGGAGCCAACACTTCTGCTCAACAAACTCCACATTCAGACATTTCTTCTCTTCATTTAAAACAGGTGCTAGAACAGCTCACAGAACCCAGGAAATCACTTCCCATGTTTTTTTCCAGTTTAGCATTTGAACAGCCAGACCAGGCGGTCCCCAGGGCCGAGCACAGAAGGGTCTGCGGCAGGGCTGTCCCTTGAACGTGGACGCGGGAGCTCCACCTCAGAGCTCGTGGTCCCTTCTGCCCCCTGGACCTCGCATTTAGGGTTTTTCACAACCCAGGGTGCAGCCACCCTCCTCCCAAGGCCCTGCCCAATGTCACATCTCCTTTATGACCTGGGATTCTCTGAGGCCTCCCTGAAGCCCCTTGTGAACGTAGACTCAGGTGTGTCTGTGGGACCTGTGAGAAGTCACATGGACATTTCTGTCACTCAGGAAGTTGCAGGGGGTTTCGATATACCCTCTGGACCAGGACCTGGGTATGAAGGCCACACCTGGATTTGTGTCACCCACCTGGGCCTGCACACTCATGGGCGTTTCTACTTGCTTTAAGATTTATGGGTCTCTTGGAGTTCAACTTTTTTTGGAGTTCTTTTGATGAATGATATTTTTCTAAAAAGTGGTCCCTTTTATCTGTTTTCAAATGTACTCATAAAAAGTTATTGTAGTCTCACAGTTACCTCGTGTGTTTCGTTTCTAAATTCATTAATCTTTGTCTTTGCTCATTTTTGTGATTTGTCTTGCCAGAGGTTTGTCTATTTTTTCAGTCTTTTCAAAAAACCCAACTTTGTCTCTGTTGATGCTTTCTATTGTGTTGATTTTCTTTTTCATTACCTTTTGCTCTTATGTTTATCACTAAGTCTTTCTGAAAACAGCTTTATTGAGATAATAACTTACATCCTACAAAATTGGCCCATTTTAACGATACGGTCACGGCGTTGGTGTGTCCAGAGTTGTACAGCCATTGCCCCAGTCAAGCTCAGTACGTTTTCATGAGCCCAGGAAGACCCAGCACGCCAGCTGTCACTCCCATCCAGCTCCCTTCTCATTCCCAGCAACCACGAATCCACGCTCCGTCTCTGTGGATTAGCCTTTTCTGGACTGTCATATAAATGCTACCCTAAGAGTCATAGGGTTGTGACTGGCTTCTGTCACCCAGTGCAGTGTTCTCAAGGTTCATCCACGTAGCACATCTCAGTATTTCATTTCTGTGTTGCTGGCTGATATGTCATTGTGTAGCTTTGACTGCGTATTCCACAGTCAGTGGATCCAGGTTGCTTCCACGTTTTGGTGATTACAAACAATACTGCTGCGATCATCCATGTCAAGTTTTGGGTTAGACACGCTTTCATTTCCCTTGGGTACCTACCTTCTTCCTTTTGGTTAATTCGGTTGTTCTTTTTCTAACTTTTGCCTCATATAATTTTGAGATTGTCTTTTGTTGGAAATTGACAAACCGATTATAAATTTATGAGAAAAAAGTGCCACAACTAGCTAACAGCTGTAGAATGCTGTTTGTTTTTAAGCAAATACAGGATATGTATATCATTGGCTCTAAAGCGAGTCTCAAGAAATTTCAAAGAACCAAAATGATACAAATCGCATTTTACTATAGTGCAACTGAGGCAGAAACCAGCTTTTGAAAAGATAACCAAAAATATCCCGTACGTTTGAAAATCTTAAGTAGACACTTAAAACAATTAATTGGAAAAGGCAGAAATTGCAATCTGGTGCCGCCTTGCAGTGTTGCGGTCAACCGTGGACGGCATGCAAGATGGTGGTCCCATAGGATTTTATAATTGTACTTTTTAATATTTTTTTTTTATTTTAAAGTTGTGGAGTACAGTTAAGGTTAGGTATACAAATATTCATTGTGCAGGCACCCTTGTTGATGAGGTGTGCTCCCCTTTCCCCAGACAGATATTGACTACCATTAATCCC